CTGGCTAAGGCCCCAACCATGTCACCACCCCGAAGCGGCTGAGAATTTAAAGTATATATCACATCAAACTCGGAAGCAATAGGATGTTTACTGGCACAAGAGGATGATGGAGTTGAATGTCCAATATACTACGCCAGGAGAACCCTCAAACCAACCGAGAAAAACTATTCCCACATGGAACAACAGTGTCTAGCACTGGTATTCATTGTGCGAAAGTTTAGGCATTATATCTTGGGTTAGAAGGTGAGGCTAGTCGTACGCAACGACTCGATAAGGTTTTTCATGGATAGACCCCCTCTCTCCGAGAGATTGGTTAAGTGGATGATGCAACTCAGTGAATATACGATCGAGTACACTCAACCCTGGGCTATTAAATGTTAAGAAGCGACAGACCTCCTGACCGCCTTCCCTACCAACGATGACTTCCCTATATCAGAAGAAGTTCTGGGAGAACTCCCCATAGTTGTAGTGGTTGAAGAAGGAGAATGGACAGACTCTATCTTTCGATGGAAGCAGTACTAGCAGCACCTTAGCCGGTGATGGAATCACATTGGCATCACCCGTTGGTAACACTTCTGCCTACTTGTTCAAACTCCAGTTTCCCTTCTCCCATAACATAGCCAAGTACGAAGCCTTAGTCCTGGGGCTGACCGTAGCAAGAGATTCTAGAGCTAAGAAGATCAGGGTGACAGGGGATTCTAAATTGGTAATTAGTTAGCTAGATGGAAGCACCACTATTAAAGAACTGACAATCCTGCCATAAAGAACCTTAATACAAAGACTAACCCGTGATCTGGAAGTAACCTTCGAACATCAAAACAGAGCCAAAAGTAGATTCGCCAACGTGCTAGCCACCCTAGGATAAAAAATCCAACCCAGCGAAGACCAGATTGACATCACCATTCAAACACTTTGTCAGCCATCAGTCAATAAACTAAGGCACTAGGTAGAAAAAGAGGACAAAATCATGGCGGATGATTAGAGATATAGCATAATACAAAAGCTAAGTAACCCAAGGGTGGCAACACAAGACAACAAGGTGGTTCTGAAATTCCAACTGGTGTACGGGGTACTGTACCATCGGCTAGCAGATGGGGTCAGAACGAGGTGTTTGGGGTTGAAGGAGATAGAGATAGTTCTGAGCGAAACCCATAATGTATTGTGGGGAGATAACCAACACACTATACAGAAGGCTACAAAGATTAGGGTACTACTGGCCTGTGATGAAGATAGATGCGGCCAAGGTACAGAATGATTGTGAGAAGTGCATCCTGAAAGTAGATGAGAAAGAATGCCTTACGGTGGGAGAGGTAGACTATAGGAGGATGTACATTAACTACATGGAGGACAACACACTGCCATTTAACCTAGCAAAGAGGAGAAAACTTTTATTAAGGGTTAAAAGGTTCTATCTTCAGGAAGGAGTGTTGTATAGGAAGTCTCACACTGTAAAGCCTCTACAATGCCTAGCCGATGAGGAGATAGAGGAAGCACTAGAAGCGGCCCATAGCTCCGAACCCACCCCACACCAAGGACAAGTGACTTTATACAATCACATCATGGATTTAGGTTTTTACTGGCCCACTATGGTGGACGACACCCAAAAACATGTGCACAGATGCCATAAAGTGCCAAATACATGTTGAGAGGATACATCGGCCTGCCAACAACCTCCACTCTGTCATCACCCTCTGACCTTTTCACACCTTGGGAGTAAACCTAATAGGCAAAATCCACCCACCTTCCCGAGGATATTGTTTCATCATAGTGGCCACAAATTATTTCATCGAGTGGGCAGAAGCTATACCTTTACGAAGGGTTTGTGCGCAGAACATAGCAAACTTCCCTAGGCAATATGTAGTTCATAGATTCAGAGTCCCAATGAGAATTTTGACAAACAATGGTTTGTCCATTAAGAATCCAGAAGTACCAGACCTTTTGGTGCAGCACGGAGCAAGGTTAGGAACATCCATGACATATTACCCGCAAGGGAACGGGCAAGCAGAAGCCACTAACAAGACTTTACTAAGAATGTTGAGCAAGACGGTGGCTGACAATCAGAAGGATTGGTCAGAAAAGTTATTAGAAACTCTCTAGGCTTATCACACCACAATTAGGAAAAGTACGCAGGCAACACCCTATTCTCTAGTATACGACCAAGAAGCAGTGCTATTGGTAGAGATACAATCAGTCTCCGCTCGTGTAGCCTTTGCGATGGGGAAGAAATTCAAAACAGAGGACATGAACCAGCTAATCAGCGAAAAGCTAGAATGTATTGATGAAGAAAGGGAGAAGGCATTACAAAAACAAATTAAGTACAAACAAGCCTTAGCCATGAACTTCAACAGAATAGCGAAGCCCAGAAAATTTATAGGAGACAAAGTTCTTAAGACAACACTCCATGTTAGACAAGGCAAATCTGTTGGAACATTCGCTCCCACTTGGGATGGACCATATGTGATCAGAGAAGCTCACCTGTCTGGCTATTACGTGCTAAAAACCGCAGACACAGGAGAGGAAGACGAGATGGTGAATGACAACTGGTTGAAGCCCTACTTTGAATAAAATTGTATAAGATATGGTTATCACATGTATTTGCTTTAAAGATGAATATATTGGATGTATCACCCACTTTTTTTCGAAAGTCTTGCAAGTTCTCATGTGATTATGTCAATCATACTTTGCTTGTAAATAAAGTGTGATGTACTCCTGATGCATATGCTAACAATTCATATTTTGCGATGAGCGATGAGATATATTTTTTGATGAGCTCTGAGTTCTTGCGATAAAGTTTTGATATACCCATGCAATATGAAAATAGAGTAAAGTTGTGATTCTTTGTCAAAGCATGTTTCGTCTTGGGTATGTCTCTTACACATACATATATACATGTACATATATGCTCTCATATTCCTTGGCAACCCTAGTTGTGCTCTTATCACCTAGCAACGACAAGCTTGCACTCATATTCCCTAGTGACCCTAGGCGTGCTTTTATCACCTGACAACCCTAAACTTGCATTTATATTCCCTAACAACCCTAGGAAGGCCCTGGCAACCCCAAGCGCGCTCTTATCACCTGCCAACCCTAGGCTTGCATTCATATTCCCTGGCAACCCTAGGCGCACTTACATATTCCCTGGCAACCCTAGGAAGGCCTTGGCAACCCCAAGCATGCTCATATTCTCTTGCAACCCTAGGAAGACCTTGACAACCCCAGGCGCGCTCATATTCCCTTGCAACCCCAGGAAGGCCCTGACAACCCCAGGCATGCTCATATTCTCTTGCAACCCTAGGAAGGCCCTGACAACCCCAGGCATGCTCATATTCTCTTGCAACCCTAGGAAGGCCCTAGCAACCCCAGGCGCGCTCATATTCCCTTGCAACCCTAGGAAAGCCCTGGCAACTCCAAGCGCACTCACATATTCCCTGACAACCCTAGGAAGGCCCTAACAACCCCAGGTGTGCACTCTCATCCCCTAGCAACCCCAAGAAGGCCTTGGCAGCCCCAGACGCGCTCACACATTCCCTAGCAGCCCTAGGGAGAATTTAGCGACATCAGGTATGATCTTTCTCTAATCTATAAATGCAAATGCCTTACCTGCTTGTGAATGCAATGGTCTAAGGAAGAACAAAGTTAAGCCATCCCATGCATATAATATAATGCTTTGCTAAGAGCAGCAACTTATTCTGACTACTGATTTCTCACTTTAGCAAAAAGAGTTCAAGTAGTTTCCTCATGTGATGACCAAAATTTTTCACAAAGGCAACCAAGGTCTGAAGCTCACAGTCAGCCCATAAATCTAGTCACTTCCACAAACTGGGTCACGACGACAGCATACTGTGTGCTAACTAGCTGCATTATAACCAAGACTTGAACCTATTACCAATACAGGGCCTTGTTTCCTCAAGGCATGATGACACTTGGCCCTTGCGACAGCCGCACCCTCTTGCGAAACGGCTTAATCCCCTTCCCTATGCACATGCTAACTATTTGCATTGAGATATCCTTATTGCACTTGACGATGTTTTCGGGATCAGAACAACACTCGATTTCTTTTACCTAACCGTTTGCAATTAGAGGCGAATTGTACTGATGTTCAATTGCGATTGCAAATCCAGAAAGTATACAGAGGTGTTCGCTTGTGGTGAAAGTTCACAAAATGCCCGACTTCAAATATTTGTGCTTTATTTTTGATACTTGCAATAAAATTTGTGGAACATGCGACTTTGAATAAATTGCACCATGTTACTCGGCGCTTGCACTGAACCTTCAACCCGAAAGACGCGCACAAGTATATTTCAACAAGCACACGCGATGTGACGATGTTCAATTTTAGAACTTTCTTAGAATGACATGACTCAACAATTGGCATAAATACAGTATAGTTCAGAAGTCAGTACGACACTTGGACCTTTTTCTCTAACAGTCTATGATTAAAGACCACTACGCTCACGATAAAAGTTCACAAAACACCTGACTTTAAATATTCGAATTTTGTTTTGACACTATTACTGAATTTCTAAAGTAAGGAGTATGCACGATTTGCTTTGCAGGAATGAATGTTGTGATAATGCTTTGCTTCAAAGCTTTGTTATTTTCAATTGCGGATGAACACAAGATCATTATAATCGCGAATGTTGTATCTCACGAAATTACGAAATTCTGTTAAGTTTCACCGGATATTTTGCCGGCATAACTGATGACTGATGACATCTAATGAATGATAAAACTGCATTCTGAAATCAAAGTTCCTTGACAAAAAACGAAGTTCTTTCGAAATGTCTTTGCGAGGGCTCCCTCGTAATGAAAGAACCTTCCTTAATGATTAAAATTGCTATACGCTAAGAACTTAATAATAACACACCTTGGCCGGTAGCTCACTGGTGCTGCGATAAAGCACTGGCACACAAATTACAAAGTCACATCTTTTCTTTTTTTTTTATATATAAAAATAATTTACAAAGTGAGCCACTATTCATTAAGAATAGTGGCTGGCCTTGACCATTCTTAGACGGATGCGCACATCCTTCAGCGACTGACCAAACACGGACTACGACACCCCGAGACCAACCTTCCGGAATGAATGGGCTAACATGATAACACGTTCCTCAATCTGCTTCATATGGAAGCCCATAATAGAAAAACACTCACAAGTCTTCAGCCACCGAGCAAAATCTCACCATGAGAGTTCATCGTAGGGTTAGTTCATGATGCAGTCCATCATGGTCGCAATAGTATTAAGGGCTGGCCCTACGACCATCGGGGAAAGGGCAGCAGGTGGTAACAAACCACTGTGGATGATGACTGCAGCAAATTTCGCCACTAAGCTTGACACAAAATACCAGCCAATCCTATGAAGCCCCTGGATATGCATGGGGTTTACGACATCGTAGCCCAAGGAGATAATGTTGTTCTTGTTGCAATACTCCGTGAGCTCCTCCTGGACTAGAGCAAGCTCCTCATCATACGACAACCCTCAACCAGTGACACCACCCCCGATCTTGTGATTTCATCTTCAGGCTGGACTTCCGGGTCAGCGGGGGCTTCGGCCTCTTCCTCAATCTGGATCTCTGGGTTAGTGTGGGAACTTTGGCCTCGACAGCGGCAGCAAGAGTGGAGGCCTCCTCGCGATGAGTTTCCGGCACTGGCGTTTCACACGGTGCCTCAACTCACACCACGACAGTAGGGGTCTCTCGCACTTCAACATTGCTCCAATGCGATCTAGATACGAGAGGTTCAGATGCTCCCATAGGATCTTCTTCTTCTTGTGCCACGGCAGCTGGAGCGTTACCACCAACGCCAGCATTTTCAGCAGCCTCCTGGCCCTGATTGGGGGCTGCGATGGTTGTACTTCTTGTAACAGTGATGACCGGCTGGACTGGCATAGTAGATGGGTCCATCTCACAAGGAATCTGCGATGAGGTAAATTACGAAAGTTGGTATGATAAGTCAATCGCAAATAACTAAAAAGAAAATATACACGTACCCAGTGGAACATCGTTGGTCTCCATAAACTTCAAAACAAAAAATGAACACGACTCAGTTACAAGCAGGAAAATTAATCGCAACAATAATGAGATAATAAGAGTAGAGAGATAAGTTCCATACCGAGTCTTCTCCTTCTGGCCCCCTCTTCTGAGGTCGGGGAGCCATCTTCTTCACGCGTCCACTTGAGAAACGGACACAAGTAACCTTCTTGGGAGGGACAACAATTGTTGACTGCGCTGATTCTACGTCAGAGCGATCTTTCTCCTTGGGTGTTGGAGCAGGGGGCTCTTGCATGGCCTTAGTCCAACATTCCCGTGTTTGCGATGAAGCCATGTCTGAGCCAGCAAGTTGTGGTACAACTGATGGCTGAGCTGGGCGAGGCACTCTTGCTGACCTCGGCCTCTTCGCCACAGGAGGATGGCTACTCTCTCCCTCCTCTAAAATCGGGCGCTTCTGCTCATGTTTTGTGCTCACTTTTTTTGGGGGGGTGCGATGTAGGAGCAGTTGGACTCTCACCTTGCTTGGTAGCATGATCTTCAAGAGGAACTAAGACTTTGGCGCAGGTGAGGGTTTGTTCTCATCAACATTTGAAAATCCCCAAACAACGCGCAAAGATAGGCAAAATGGAGGGACTTATACCCTCAAATACCCTGCAATAGGGAATCGTGAACAGCCAGGAAATGCAAGGTCATGGCGTCAGACCTAGAAAACATCTTTCCTGAGGACTGCAAGAATCGGGCGCCCATTTCATAGTAACCAAACTGCTAGAGCACCCGGTCTAGATGGTAAACAACCAACTGAGCCTCGCCGGTGCGATCAAGGTATTTGACCCCAGCATTGCTGATCGCCGCCTTTTGGAACCGAAATGCCGACACAGAATGGCATTGCGTGAGACACAACCTGCGTGTACGGCCTCCATACGAACCCATCGAGGGAAACCATCTTATAGTCAATCTCGCTCATTTTGAACCACTTATGTCCGTTAGCTTGGAGCCAGCGTTTCCCCCTACAGGCCTCGATCACCTTCTCTTCAGACTCGTCCCCCTCCGTGGTGGCAACATCAACATGAATCGGGGAAAGAGGGCGAGGTGTGACGCTGAGGTCAAAGCGCTCACACAAAAACATCCATAGAAAGGGGCACAGATGTAGCCGATACGCCTCTTACAACTTGGGTCCATAATCTGTTGGACAATATCGTCCATCTACTCGTATAGATAACCCAAGAACATAAAAGTTAAGGGCAGCAAGCACGGCGAGCGGGACCAAAACTGTACGCAAGCCATAGTCGGGAAATCTCGAGAAAAGGAAGCGAGAGGCGACATACAAAATGTAGCAAGGTGGCACTTGCTATTCGCACCCTTACCATTATATCCCTCTTGCCATGAGACTCGAACCAGTACTCCAACCATTGCTCCAAAGACATCTTCCCCCAAACGGTGGACTAGTCTACCTTGGCCTTATATGCAACAATTTCGCCGATGATTTCATCGTAGAGTTCCCTCGAATCAACGGGAATAGATTCAATATGCTGGAGATGCTGAGCAGACATAGAGCCCCCGACGGGCAAAGCCAACAAGGCAACCACATCTTAGACAATAACAGTCGGACGCACCCATGAAGGTGTGGGTACAGCAACACCAATGCTCCAGCAAATGCTTCACGTATTCAACCCCTTCCCTACTCAGAAGGTCGGTGTAGCAATCCACGAACCGGAGCTAACCAGAGTCTTGCAACATCCGGCAATACATCGGATTCTTCAAGATGTGATGTGTCCATGCGGTATAACTGTTAGGGGACTTCGAGTTGTCAGTCCTAGGTTCTTGACATTTATACGAAACCGACCGATTTGGCCGGCCACATAAACACATCAACTCGGTGTCGTTGATGACGTCGAACACACCACCTATACCCCTAGCTACCAGCATTGGAGGCCAGAAACCCCGTCTCCCGTTGGCCTCCATGGCCAATTCGTGCTCTGACAACAACTTCGTCGTATCAACTTCTCTGACAAAGTCAACAAAGGGACACAACTTTCTTTTGGTGAGGGGCCATGTTCGATAGATAATGGCTAGGCTGGAAAACAAGAATGAGGGCACAAAGAAAGTTGTAGGGTAGACAAAAGAGTACATAAAAAGAGAATAGGGATATGATAGCAAGAAGGCGAAGTAGAAAGTCGATCAGCTGTCTCTTTATAAACGGCTCTCACATGTTGGGAATGACAAATGGCACTAGGGAAGATGAACAAACGTGAGTACGAAGCATAACAAAAAGTAGGAGAAATTTACTCATATACACTCCAAAAGGTGGGACAAAACGATGCATTAATTTAAACAAAATGCCATGTCATCAACCATCACTTTAAATATCGAATATCGCATCTATGCCGCACGCACGAATAGACCACATTTATTACGATACGATAGTTAAGAAAACAATAATGATACCTACCACGTTTCCATCAGCCACTGAATACGATAAGTCATTGAACCCTGCACCATTAACTGACACCGTTCACCATTAACTGACACCGTGTATCCACAACAGACATTACTTTGACATATAGGGGGGTTGAACGCCCACACTGGAACAACAATGCGAATGTCTTTTGCTGATTTCCTTCCTGTCAATGGTCAGAGGGGCTGAAGCTCGCAAATCCGACGCAGAGTTTCCCACTGACAAAAAGTAAATCATCAAAAGACAGGGGCCTAGACCACAGAAGGGATGAAAACCAATTGAAGAACAAATACCTAACTCTTGCCCAAAGCCATTAACACACAAAGACACACGATTGCTTGAGTAACCAACTCCTAACCTGTCAATAGATAGAGGGGTTGACAAAAGCCCAAATGAACTTTCTTTTACCCACATGAAATCGCAAAATGGAGTAGATCTCCATACTCAACGCACAAATACTTACCGACCCATCGTAGAACCTCAAGGCAAATGTGAAGGCAAAATGCTTAGCGATAAGATTCCACTTACCGATAAGCAATGGGGCTAATATAGGTACATAGTGCTTGTTCAGTCCTTTAGAGTCCAGAAGACACTAAATCGATACCATATGGATGCCTACGATCAGTCTTTAGCTTATCGGCCACCTGCGATGAACTTGTAGTGTATCGCATGGCTCATCGCACGTTCGCAATGAACTTACACTTGACACGAGCCTAAAATAGGTTCTAGTTAAACCAGCAATGAACTTTATACGCATGCAGTTCTACGATGAATCTTGGACACACGCGGTCCTGCGACGAACTCTGGAGGAGCACGGTCTCGCAATAAACCCTATACCGTTACAAAACTACGGTTCATTGAGAACCAAACGTAAGTATTGACTGCGATGACGTCACTAGCGCCAAGTCGATTAAATAAAATGCGAAAGGTGATAACACACGTAGATTATGAGAATCCTTAGGTGAAGGAAAAGTCATCCCTTGAGAGATCTCATAAACACACGTGGCGAAACCCTAGCAATGTTCCTTAATGATTGACAACAAATATAATATTCTCTTTCCTAATAGAAAAACGGAGTCCCTCCCTATAAATAAAGGTCTTCATAACGATATTCATTCATTCAATTACTGATTAACCCAATCATTGGATTCCCTGCTCAGCCATCTCATCACTCCCCTTACCCTAGCCTCATGTTTGATTCTTCACTCTCGGTCTTCCTTTGTCCTTCAAGGAAACCATCCCCATCTAGCCTGACCATCTCCTGCCTGATCTAAAGAATTTACATTTTATCAGGCCTAGACTTTCAGCCCCGACTTTCAGGCCAGGTCCATTTCAAATTTAAGCAAAACCCAAGCCCACAGAAATTGCACCCTTTAATTGGACTAGCCAAAGGTAATTCTAATGCTACATTTGGTTGCAATGGAAACTTGTTTGCGCTGATGCAAAATTATGTTAGTGCAAAAGATTTGGGTGCAAATTTTGATTAATTTTTATTTCAAAATTTACCTTATTTTATTTGATTGAAGTAAATATGACATGAGGCAAAATAAAATTGAACCAGAATTTGCATTCTTTTCATTTGCACTCCGATGCAAAACAAAAGCATTGAAGAGCATTATTTACAGCTTTCTATATATATATCATATGATGTGCAACTGCACTATAGACAAATGTACACTAGAAAATAAAATGGAAATTTCCCTTCCCACGCTTCTCCACCTATCTACTTTCTCTGGAACAAAACCACATGATTTTAGATCAGGTGGGCGTACCAAAGCCCATGAACAGAAATAGATACCGTTGCTACCACGACCAAAACCTCTCCTGCCTCTATAATGTTATCAATGAGGATAGTTGCACCCACCCGTCCAAGGGCTAACTCTGCCAATTCTCTACCCTGCAATCCACTTCCCCCGAGCACCACTCCTCGCATTGCCAAGTAAATTGCATGTGATACTTTCATAAAAACAACGTCCTCAGCCCTTAGGCTCCTGACTAACATGTTTGCCATTACTTCCCTCCTTGCTTGGATCTTCTTTGCATCCGAGAAGTTATCTCCTCCTGAAAAACCATCAATAGCATCGATGATTTCTGCAACTCCCACATCAGCAACCCTGTCCAGGAGATTAAAGAGTTCTTTCACAGACTTGTATACTGTTTTCTCCATCTCTGTGGCGCTGGTCACCAAGTTCTCACTAATAAGGATCTGGCGGAGAACCAACATGCTGCATCACAGAAAAGATCCAGATTAGAAGACAAAGGTGATGCAGGAACCAAGTGGGCCAAATATGGGGTGTTTTCAAAGAGGCATTTCAACTTTTAGACAGTATTTTGGTTATTTTACATGTCTGTGGAGCTGGAGCTCAGAATTTGATTTGTCTACTTTTTAAGCGGGTTATGCTTAAAGTTCTACAGTAATTTATAGTTTTCTCATGATGATGACTGTTAATTTTTGTTTTTCCTAGTTCTAATAGGATTGACCACCCCAATAATGTCTATATTTGCAGGAAGTACGTGCATTGCAAATGGTAGTAATGATGGACAGAAACTTTATCCAGTTCTGTGCACTTACACAGAATTGTGGCATCTGATTTATATATGCTAGTCCAGTGGCACATGCAGATGCAGATACACATGCAAGATGAGAGAACATCAGTGGGGAGAGAAAAAATTTGGGGAGTTGGGGGGTACTAAAATTTTTGGATGTTGGTCTAGACGGGGCTCAACTCCTGTAACAAAAGCCACTACAGGTGTAATAGGTGCAAAACATCAATGAAAAGAACAACCATACATCACTATGCATCAGTTTAAAATGATGCTCAACGGAGGAAAAAAAAGGTTCAATGTCACTTTTGCTTAAACAACATGATATGCAAAATTTACCATGTATTTAGAAAGCAAACATCCAAAATGAAATAAAAACTAATTACATCAACATATGGATCATGCATCTATGCTAAAGATGCCACACATTCTTGCAATTATCTCTTAAACCAAAGGTGGTAGAAACCAAACAAGATGTAGGAGTGGAAGAAGCCTGTGTCTTCTCAAATTCCAAGGCAAAAAATTAAACCTACACCATTTCCTTTTTTACCTTCTCAACATGCTGGTCCTAAATCAAGCAACCATCACGAAAGAAAGTGATAGAACCCCACACCACCATGCAAGGCTCATAATCACTCTAACTCTTTTCAGGCCCAAAATAAGTAAGCCAATTATCCCTACTACTACACATCATTCTAGATGGAGGTGGGTAAAGAAAGTAATCCAAGAAATATGACTTTGTTTAGTCACTTTGAAGAGGCGAATATTGCATGCTTACAAGAAATTAAATGGAAAAAAAGCTAAAGAAATTGATGGCCACAAATTATGATATACGAGATGTGAATAATAGAAATGGAGTGATAATAGTAAATAAGGATTTAAAAAATGAAATTGTAAATGTTAAAAGAATTGGTGATAGAATAATTTTGGTAAGACTTGTTTTTGGTGAGTGAAATCATTAACATAATTAGTGCTTATGCAACTCAAGTGGGTTTAGAAAAAACAATTAAAAGATGATTTTCGAAAAACTTGGTGCCTATATTTAAGAACAAAGGTGATAATACAAAGTTGTAACAACTATTGAGGGATTAAACTAATGAGCCACACTATGAAACTTTGTGAGAAAATAATTGAACAAAGATTGCGACTTGAAACAAGTGTATCAAATAACCAATTTGACTTTATTCCAGGAAAATCAACCATGAAAGCTATATATCTTTTGACACGACTGATAAAAAGTTTAGAGAGAAGAAACATCATATGGTGTTCACTGATCTAAAAAGGGCTTATAATAAAGTTACTAGAGAGATAACATGATGGGTCTTAGAAAAGAAATGGGTATAAAATAGGTAGACAGACCTAATTAAAGATACGTATGAGGGGACAACAACCAATGTTAGAACAATAGTTAGAAAGACATAAGATTTTATAGTTACAATGGGTCTTCACCATCAGTACTTAGCCTTTTGTCTCTTTGCACATATCATCGATGAATTGGCTAAACATGTTCAGGAAGAAGTTCTATGGTGTATGTTGTTTGCAGATGACATTGCTTTAATTGATGACATTGTTTTAAATGCAAAATTAAGCTTATGGACAAATAACCTAGAGACAAGAGAATAGGACTAAAATAGAGTATATGACATGTAAATTTAGTAATAGTAGGAATTCAAAACAAGATACAATAAAGATTGGAGACCAAGAGATTACTCAATGTGACCATTTCTAGTACCTTGGTTCAATGATTCATAACAAGGAAGAGGTTGAGGAGGATGACACTAACAGAATTAGAGCACGTTGAGAAAAATGGAAGGGTGCATTATGACTTTGTGATAGGAGAATACCACTTTAGATTAAAAGGAAAATTCTATAAAACATTGTAAGGCCAGCTATGTTGTAAGGAACAAGTGTTGGGTTGTCAAGAAACATGTTCAGAAAATGAGTGTGACAAAAATGGAAATGCTAAGATGGATGAGTGGAAAAACTAGAAAAGATGGGATCAAGAAAGAAGCCATTTGTAGAAACCAAGCAGTAGTTCCAATAAATGATAAAATGAGAGAGTAGACTAAAATGGTTTGGTTACATGCATAGAAGACCACCAACAACTCTAGTTAGAATAAATGGTTTGTTACAAGTGAAAGGAGCTAGAAGAGTTAGGGTAGACAAAAAACAACACAGGTAGTAGTAAGAAATTATTTAAGCACTTAAAATTTAACAGTGGATATGGCTTTAAATATAAGTATAGAATGGATTGGCGAAACAAGATTCATGTAACTGACCCCATATAGTTGGGATAAGGCATGGAGGATGATGATGATTTCCAATCCACCACCCTTGAGATTTGTATATGTATATAAGAGGCCATGTTAGCCGGTTAGTTGAAAGGGGTTGACTATGACTAGAACCATTTAGTTACTTGATTTGGATCTGACAACTTGTAAGCGAAATACTTGGTGTTAGGTAAATAACAAGAGAATTTTCTGTCCATTTTCTCTCTCTCTTTTTTTTTTTTAATTTCAAATTTGAGGAGGTTAAGCCACCTTGGAAGTGGTTTCTATTTCGACTAGTAACTCAACAAAATTGGAATCAGGGCACAAGAAAAAACCATGACCAACACAAGATCAACTATGGTGAAAGATCAAATCGATCGGTTGGAGTTGAGTCTCCACAAGTTTGAAGGAGACTTACGGGAGATCAAAGAGGCACTATTAGCAGTGATATCTCATTGTTGAAGGATGACAAGATCTGAAGCCAAATAGACTGAATGAAGTCAGGATGCAATTTAGGCTAGCACAAGTTTGACTTTTGTCAAAATTTAGATGACCCCAGCTCAAAAACTAGAGCCCAAAGTAGTATAAAATGTGAAGGAACTCCCTGATGTACCATTTTATTGTAGTCCTTATTGTATTGTTTTCTTATTTATTATTATTTTCACTTCAGCCCTGCAAGGGCCTCTCTGTAATTTCTGTAATTTCACTTTCTATATAAAGGACCCTTGGGGTAGGATCGAATCATCCATTCTTCATCCCCAGAATTTTGTATTTTGCTCTGGGTCCATTGACATGGTATCAGAGCAGGCTGTTCTTTCCTTGCTCATTCGTTGAGCATATTAGGTCCTAACACCTTTCCCTTCTTCATGTTATTTAGTGCCTCTTTTATTTCAGTAGGTCTAACTCTACAAAGGTACGTATTATTTTTAATAGTATTATTATTGCTAGTTTCTCCTCCATTAGCACCCTCTCCTTGTTCATTTAATAATTTTTCAAAATAGTTTTTCCATCTTTGTTCAATGTTCTCATCTTTTGCCAAGACTGCTCTTCATCATTAATGCACCTAACATGGTTTAAATCTATGCCTTTCCTTTCCCTCAGCTTTGCTAGTATATATATTCTTTTTTCTTCCTCTTAGTGCCTAATTTATGGTAAAGCTCATTAGAAGCCCTACATTTAGCTTCATTCACTTTCTTTTTGACATCCTCTCTTATGGTTTTATATTTTCCCAATTTTTTGCATTTTTAGCTTTTTGCCATCCTTTGTAACATGTTCATTTTAATCTGATTACATTTTTTAACTTCATTCCACCACCAAGTTTCTTTAGTACTTATCCATTTCCCTTTACATTCTCCCTAGATATGATCCTATAAAAAGGTGGGAGGAAGGTAGAGAACAAAAAACAAAGAGCAATAACATTGACCTACCTGATAGCAATAACAACACTCTTCTGAAGTTGGGACTGAACAGCTTTTAGCCTTGAGAGATTTAGCTTAAGGGTTTCAGGTAGGGTCTCCAGTGTTAGCCCTTTTGTGCCAAAAACTAGCTTCAACAAGCCAAGCCTCACCAACAGATCAATCCTTTCTCCCTTGCATTCTGGTTGTTGGTTACCTATTCCAACAACTGATAATTAAAGAACTACCACTAAAGAGGAAAAGGTGGATTCAAGGACTTATGAAAGGATTTTTTTCCTATACGTTTTTAGGACACCCTAAGAAATTTTTTGCACTCATACCTGTAAAGGTAGCAATTGTCACTGATGGAAAGGATTTCCCTTGGCTTCTGTTTGATGATACAAGCACACTGCCACCAGTCCTAAGGGTAGGAGGAAGGCCCTGAGAAGAACTAATCTGACTTGTTCTCGAGGCTGACAAGGAATCTGTATGTTCACCCCATTCCTGCTCTGAACTACCCTTTACAGATGATAGCCATTGCACTGTCAATGGTAGAGCTGTTGAGGCATCAGAGGGTGACCTATAACGGTTGGCAAATGCCTTTTTCAGGTATTCTAAACCAGTTGGCCCTTTTATGAGAGGTCCCGCAATTCTTATATGTGCTTTGCTAATTTCTCGTTTCAGTTCCTGCAAGAATATAAAAGTTGTTCTGAGAAAGCTACAGATAAGACAGTTGAATATGTGAGTGTGTGTGCGTGTGTGTCATAGAGAGAGAATTTAGTGCAAGAAATTTCTCTGATCCCTACATGAAATACTGAATTAATATCTAGACCAAATTCTTGTACCCATGCATGACATATGTTATAGATCTATCCATTAATCCCATAATGACAAAGAAAACCATCAAATTTGAAGTAGTGAGGTAGATATCCATAAGCTCAACATGTCCAATGGAGTGCCAAGCAACCCAAACCACATCATTCATACACTTACCTCTCAATATTTCCACATGTAACATCTCTGTAAATCTGTATCAGATATTAAATTCAATTGTTTCATGAAGTTTCTAATTAAGACCGGGGATGTTGCATGGACTCTCTGAAATGGATGATGCATCGTATCAAAACACACATCCAAGTCTTCCATTCAATGGATTCTCAAGGGCACTTCTACATAACATTTCCTTTTTATCTCCTAGCCTATTTAACATAAATGAACAGAAAAACTATAAGACGAATCCATTTTTTTGTAATTTTGTTTAGTAACAAAGGTAACACTTTTTGTAAGTATATAATGTTAGAATTCAAAAAACATGAATTATTTTAATAGCATATACTCTTCCATGGACGTATCCATGAGTCCATGTTTTCTCATCTTGCCAAATCTGACTCTTGGACATGCATCAGATTCCAACCAGTGCTCAAATCCATGCAATGCTGGTTGGTATAAGTTCATGTGGCAACAACTTAGGTGAGCCTAATAGTTCATCAATTAATTTGCTTAGATTACATCAATAACACATATTGGTGTTTGCTATGGGTAATTCTGCTCTCAGAACCTCACAAGTGTTTCTGCAAATAACCTACTTGCCAGAAGTTTTTCTCTCATCAATATAAATTGGTTTTATAGTAAATAGAAAAATCATTAAAGAAAGAACAAAGAAGAATCTCATCATCAAAACATCCAAAAACAGCCAAACAGAATTCCACCTTCCTTGCAATACATCAGCCACAAACCACTAGGGGAGATCATACTTAGCCCAGCCTGGAAACCCGGCCTGCAATATATACTATAAACACTTAATAGTGAGTGTCACACTCTTAGTGCCAGACTTATCTAGCACTTAATAATAAGTTAGAAATAACTTACCAACCTCTCTTATTTAGACTTAATAAACACTTATCTAGCAGCCTCCTCTCCTAAGAAGAATATCCCCATCTTTCCAACCTCTATTTCTTTATTGACCACCTCATTAATGCCCATTTTCTCATCTGCTTTAGATACTTTATCATTGAAACCCAATCTCATCTACTCTTCTCCACTACCTTCAAAATCTTAATATAAATTATTTGTTATACAAGGAATATGTGCTTCATTTTCATTTTCATTTTACCATTTTCTAAAATATCAATGTACGCTTCATATAGCTATAGAATTCTTTTAATTTGCAAAATCTTTACAATATACAGAGTTTCCATAAATCATTTCTGTTACTGAAGCTGGTGTTTAAAATCCTATCATGACACACTAAAACCATACAACAGACCACAAAGTGATCATCTAAACACAAAATACTCTCATGAGAGAGAATGTAGGTTCCAGCATTGGAGAGATGGAGAACTTCGTGGAGGCCAATCGATGGAGAAGATCTCTAAAGGTGGGGGCAAAAGTTTTTCTGTTTCAGGAACTAAGAATCAGAGGGCAGATCAGCATGAAAATCAGGGATGCCAAGATGGCTATGGTGTTCTTGGTAGGATTAGATGTGGTGGAGTGGCTCACAGACTTTGTAGATGAAGCAAGCTCAGAAGGAGAGGAAAGAAGCTGGAAAGAGTTCCTTACAGAGGTGGGAAGGAGATAAGTGCTGGAATGCAGGAAAAATCATAAAGGATCTTTCATAGCTCTTTCAGGGTTCTATGCTAAGAACAGGAAGCAGATGGTTTGAATCCCCGAAGGAAGAAAGAGCCAATAGTGGCTTGAGATAGTCAAGATTCTGAGAGACTTTATGTCAAGAGTGAAAACAGAGGGGGGAAAAGGAGAAAGAAGGAAAAAGAGGAAATCTCAAAGACAGCAGATAACCTCAAATCCCCTAGGCAAAATGTTTTGACCTTGGTGCAAGCTGAAAATAAAGTGGCTCTGTTGGTAACTGCTGAAAAAGGAGAATGGACAAGTAAACTGATTGTTGAAGTTGACAAACCAAGTAGAGGTTGGGAGAAGATTGCTGATTTACTGAAAAACAGTTGAAGATGAGAACCACTTTTATCCCAACGCCTTTTGACAGGTGCTAAGCTTTGCTTGATCCACTTGAAAACAAATTAAAAGTTGAGGCTGTGTGTCTACAGGATGATCTTGGCTTGGTGCTCGATGAATATATTCAAGTGGTCTCCATCAAATTCGAAGGAATTCTCTGTTCTGGATGGGGTGGTAGTGCGTGTTGTTGGATTGATGGAATGATAAAGTAGCAGAAGCAATTGCAGTATTGTGTGGAGCAAGGCTGGCTGGTGTTTTTTGGGGAGACCTCAGATCCACAGCAATTTTACTGAATGGAGTCAAGCCTGAGGACATTCCCAGGAAAGTTTACTTAAAAGTTAAAAGAGCTTTCATGGCAGTTTGGCTGGTTTCCTCCACAGAAGCTGAACTGTAGAGGGAAGCTCAAGAGGAGGAAGATGCAAAGGTTGAAGATGAAACCCTACATAGCAGCAAGGGGTTGGAGGACCTGCAAGGGAGAGAATTTATACAAAAAAGGGCGAAGAGGATTTTAGAGTTCCAAAAGCCTTGCAGAAGTTGGAAAATCTTAATGTGACCAACAAGGCATTAGCTGGGCATCTGACAGATCTTACGCTCTAGCTGCTACAAGTGGCACCAAATCTAAATTTTCAAATACACCTACTCAAATGCAAGAAGGTTCTAAGGGGTCAGTAAACTCACTTGAACCAAAGCCAAAAGGTGGGGAAGATAAACAGTTGGGTAAAATGAAAGAAGACAAGGCTCAACCTCTAATTAATCCAGGCCAGGCTCATGTTGGTGGGCCCCGGAAACTAAACTATGGGCCCTCTCAGTCGGAGGATGTTGCTGTTGGCCATGTCAAGTAGGCCCTTAAGGACCAGGGTAGGAAGTTTCTAATGGGTCAGCCCTTGTCAGCCCACCTAAGGTGGGTCAGGCAGAGCATATTAAAAGGTTTGGAAAGGAGATTTCAACTGGGCCGAGCATTGTTAGCCCATCTAAGGGGCCCAAGGAAAAATGTGAGAATTTAAAAAGTCACGTGCCTAGAGGTGTTTTGTCAATAGATGGTATTTACCATCTATCTTCTTCGAGTTCAACAAGCCAAGTTTTTGGAAGCTCCAACTCTTCTCCTCTTGGAATCTCTATGCAATAGATTGCATCTGCAAGATTAAACAGATTATCGCTAGAAAAGTGCAACTCAAGATGTATCAGACAAAGCAACTTAGAGGAGCTTAGGAAGGTTTCTCATTCTGAGGAAGACTATAGTGACACTGATTCAGACAATACAGTGAGCCTGGGGAGCATCAACCTAAACAGCTCGAGGAACATCTTTGAAGAAGATAGCTAGGGAATGGAAGTATTGTTTCAGGAAGATAAGGAAGCTGGATCACAAAGAGTCGAGGAAGACAACTTGAATGCTATGGACTGGCCTACAAAGACCTCGACTGTGGAGTCTGTGGCTCAGGAGTTGCCTCTACTTGCAAGGGAGGTCAGCCCCTTAGCTCAGGTAGAACAGGATATTGGTTTGGAAGGGAAAGAGCTTACCAGAATGGTTTGTAACGTCTTGCTAGAAGCTGGACAGTAGTGGAAGACTAACTCGGACGCAAAGCTGACAAGGCCTTGACCTCCACTAAAAACTCTCCCATGCAGATCTGAACTCAGGAAACAGGCTTAGGCTTGCCTCTTGACACTGATCCCCCTTCTTCAGAAGTAGTCCCCTTGGTCTCCAACAATGAAGGGACCAAGTGGAAATTTTTTATTTGAGGGGGGGAGTAGAGAGTAGAGAACCTGGCAACATTGAGGGTGAGTAGAGTGGGGTAGACGTGTCACTCAAGAATAAACAGGAGGATCTAGAAAGAATATGGGAACATATCTGTCTGTTACTGAAGGAGTATAAAGAAAAGGAGGGAGTAGATGACAGGGAACAAGTGATAACTCCTCTAACGAAAGACTATCACAAAAGCTCTTAGTTGGGGGTGGGGAGGTGGTTGAAGTTAGTGTTTCAGATTAAATAAAAAAAAAAAGAGGGGAATACAAAAAGGAAAAAGAAAAAGAGATCAAAAGCAGAGAGATTAATCTTAGATATTTAGGGTGATATCAAGTTCAGTGGTAGAGGAGAGAGAAAGATCCCTTGTAAAGTGGAGTCTTTTAGAAAGGGTCTTTTGAAAGGAGTCTTACAATGAAAATCATTAGTTGGAATGTGAGGCTTGGGGAGAGCACATGAAAAAGGGCAATTAAAGATTTGCCAATTAGAGAGAAATCTGATATAGTTATGTTACAGGCAAGGTTCAAAATATTGATATGCCCAATACGCGAGTAGAGGCGTATCGGGCAGTATTAGTAGTTTGTTTTTTAGTTTTTTTTTCTCAAATCTGGTTCAGAGGGGGAGGGGCCGGTTTAAGGTCCATCCACCCCTTGAACCGGTCAAAACCCTAATACACCCTCTGTAGGGGCATATCGGGAAGTTCCCAATACGATACGTATCGGCTGATACGGGCCGACACGTATCGATACTTTGAACCTTGGTTACAGGAAACCAAGCTAACAAAATTGAATAGAAAATGGGTTAGAAGTGTGTGGAGATCAAGAGGAGTTTGTTGGACCTCGGCTCCTTCATGAGGAGCAGGAGAATGTTGTAGAATCAATGGAAGAACTCATAGGGAAATTTTTTGTCTTTAAAGTTCAGCATGTGGGTATGGATTCACTTGGGTCTTAACCAATGTCTATGGGCCAAATACTTATAATGA